TCCCAGAGTTCGAGAGAAGGAAGAGAGTTCATGTTTTAGATGGCGCGCCCACTGCGATCGGAATTTATGTAGGCATGCGTTTTATTAACTATGAACTATTTAACAACGCTATCTCAACTGCAGAAATTAAGATATATTGCAGCAGATGAGATGCAAAGTTATGAATAATAAGTAGAAATTTATTTGTGAAGAAACCGTCGTGGTCTATTTTAAGTAAAACTGCAGAATTTGCATTGGGGAAGTGAGCAAATCCGGCAGATAAAATTCCGTCCGTTTTGAAACCAATCCCTTAGCTAATATTCCCAGTAATATACTGTGCCTAAAATATGTTAAAGTGTGCTTCATCATCACAAGTTGAGGAGATTATTGCATCATCAGCATAAATGTGGTAGATTCTGCTTTCAAAATACATCGGAACCAGCGTTGTCATGTCTTGGATCTCGTTGAATACGCAGTAACCTCCTTCCTTCTGTCAGCTTGCTTGCCAATTCAAGGTATGACATAACCTCAAAGATTTTTAAGCAGACGGTAAAAATTATTGCTGCTGCTTTAATGTACCATTTCACAACGTCCCTCTCTCTGTCACGTACTGAATTTATATTGCTCTGTTTATGAAGAGTTATGGCAATTATGAGAATTGAGTTGTGGGGGACTCAGATAAATTACAAGTCATATCAGCCGATACTCGGCATGTATATGAAGCAGGGACTTTCCGACTGCAATTCAGTCCCGTTTCTGGAGAGCTTACTTTCTCTGTTCAGAGGCCGGATCATCAGAATTCTGTCACCTTACAGTAATCGCTCTGCCCTTCAGTGATTTCACATACTGTGGTTATCTTTGTCTGGCAGCCTGCAAATCCGCATGTTGATATAACGGGTGCTATTATATTGTTTATGTAAGCAGAGAAAGAAAACTTCTTGCTTTTAGTCCGCAAGCGAACTGTACCGACCGAGAGACCGCCGCTTCTCGGCGAAGTTAGTGCCAACTTTAGCGGATAGAGGGTGTCGCGTGGTCAGCGCAACAGATACCCACCGCCGTTAATCTCGGTTTTCTAGACCGGAGTCGCTATTTTCGTGAAATAGCTCCTCAGTTATCCTCACGAGGCTGAGTGGAACCAGTTCCAGACCCAGTACTGCTCAGGAAATCTTGCAACGCCTGGAATCGAACCCGGACCTCTGGGTCTGCAGCCAGGAACTCTGACCACTAGACCACAGAAGCGGTCTTATGTAACCAGATATGCCATAATTGTGATACGGTATGTATGGGGAAATGGTAGGGCGTCAAAGAATAGTATATCGAATTTCTACTTTCAAAAACCAATTTAAATCTCTGCTAGGCACCAATTATAGCAGGCATTCTTACACTCTACTTGCCAACGAATTTACTCACCAACAAATTGCTTAGTAGCGAGTATCTTATTGCATTCAGACAGTAAATCCGCCCTTAAAATCGCTACGCAGAAAGTGAGTTCCTTCGTTTAATTGACTCATAAATTCGCCCGCCTTGTTACAACTGGTTAGTTTATTGACTCTCAAGTGAATTCGACAGTGAGTCGCTGGTGAAGTTTAAAATTTATAACTTCACTCTCTTTCATTTTAGTGAGTAACTAATCTATACGTTCAGTCCCCCATACGCCTTCATGGCGTAGTGTTTAATTAGTTAAGCACAGGGACAACTTTACCTTTGCTAGGCGGTCAGTTTGCTCACCCGTCTAATTACATCAGACCAGTTTGCTGGCTGATTGGTAATTCTCTGTTGAAAGCAAGTGAATTAGCCTAGTGCAACCCACGTTTCAGAGTGAAATTTTATCTCGGGCTGCTTTTGCACCAGTTAGTCGTTGAAAAAAGAAATAGGTCGCAGTCCGTAATCTTGTCTGAAGTGGATAATTATCAATTCCAGCAGAAGTCTTTAATATTACAGCTATATTTTTTTATTTGTATTAACGTAATTTACGCATCTGGTGAGTTAATTTTTGATTGTTGGTTATGTGAGTGAGATTTATGGGTAAAATTAGTTTCAGAGCAGAGCGACGATAAGCTGTTTGTATCTAAGTAAGCGGAAATAAAATCAAGCCTTAGAAATTTGTACAGTGAAGAGCTTCGTATATTCTAGGCGTACACTTCAGTTAATATTATTATGCTAATCAAATGAACGAGGAAGAAATCGTCAACTCTTGGCTATTAAGTTGGTAATTTCCTGGTGGAAAATTTTTTAACAAACTATGTTATTCTGAAGAAAGCATTAAAAATGAAAGTAGATGCTATAACTTATTGCTTAATATTGGGTCACATTTAAGCATGAAAATTTTGTATCAGATGTTAAAATTTCCAAGTTTCGCTCAACATTTGTTGTTAAGAAGAGATCGTGGGAAAGATTCTCTTCGTGAATCCTTGTCATCGGGATTAAGTTTCAGCTTCTGTGTGTCTTGGAATGCTGGAAACGCGTTTATGTAAGGAGGGTTGATGATACTGTGTCATTTGCATTGAGAGTTGAAACAATGAATTGCCAGAAACGCGAGTTGTGTGACTTGGTTCTGTATCTAAGCCACAAGACGCTTCTATAAGAGGCAGTTAAGGCTGATAAAACACAGAGAAAGGTCACATTTCCTGCCCTGGCATTTGCTTTTGTTCCGAGAAGAGCTTTTAGATTCATGCGAAGGGTAGATAATGTGATCAGCAGAATGAGAGCAGGCAAGGGATAAGTGGCAGCTATGGAAAACACAAAGCAAATTACATTCCAAGGGCATATAATCTAAACCCATTAATTCATTATGATAATTGTAACAATAATAATAATTCAATTCTTTATTTGTTTATTAATTTACATGTTTACTCATCAGCCCTAAGGATAATTATAAACTGAACATGAGCATAGAAGGAGAGTAAATAAACATGAAGATAGAAACAAAACATAAGACAACGCAACTTTGATCCTTTAGACAAAAACACAAATTCAGTGAGTCCAATCACGCCAACCGTTATGAGGTTATGAAAAATGTGTACACATATTCATATTCAACGGAATTAATAATTGAGTGTCGTTATAAAGTATGATAAAGAAAAACAGTTTTGGACCAAAATGAGCCAGCGTTCCCACAAACAACATTATCAGCTGAAGCGAATGCATGAGAAGGACAATTTTCGGTTGAAGAGTGGACATTGAACACAACAGAGCAGAGACTTGAAAGACTAACAGTTTCTGAGGAAGGGGAGAAATAACTAAGTTAAACTTGCAAAAGGAACATAGCACCAAGCTGATATCTCCTATTACGTCAGGTGTACACTTTTAACTAATCCAAGCCATAAGCATAGTAGTAATGGATATGGGGTAATAGACGATTAAAACAATTAAATAATAATAATATAATAATAATAATAATAATAATAATAATCTTGTAACGAGCAATAATTATTCGTAATAACTTTTAAGGATATTTCAAGAAAATCTGGCAATTTTAGAAACTGTAAAGATAAACCGGAAATACATCATTGCACAAGTATATCACCAAGAGAATTTTCAGCAAGGCACTACAGTTGTTAATCGAAAAAGAGAAATTCAAATTAGAAAATTTCTGCTCTTCAGTTTGTTTCTTGGTTGCAAGCCTCTTGCGGTTGCAGTCCAAAGATCTCTCATTACATAGTCTTCCTCAGGAAGTACTGGTAGACGGAATGTGAGTTTTAACATCCTCTCTTTTGGTGGAATTTCAAGGTTTGATGGCACTGAAAACCGAGGTCTTGGTAAAGGTTACGATACAGTATATTTTGATTGGTTTGGATTGATCTGGCTCAGGATAGGGGCCAGTGGAGGGCTCTTCTGAACACGGGAATGAACCTTCGGGTTCCATAAAATGCTGGGAAGCTCTTGAGTAGCTACACAATTTGCGGCTTCTCAAGAAGGGCTCAGCTCCTTGAGTGAGTGAGTGATATTTTGATAGGAGGTTACTAATATTTTAGCGAGAAGGCCTGCCCCTGTAGTAAGAGGATGGCCGAGGGCGCGCCATAGCTCAGGCGGTTAGTTGCTGACTTCCAACCGCGGCGGCCCGGGTTCGATCCCGGGTCTCGTTAAGTGGGATTTGTGGTGGACAAAGTGGTGCTTGTGCGGGTTTTCTCCGAGCACTTCGATTTTCCCTGCTAATCTTCATTCCACCAAATTCGCCATCATCATAATCACCCGGGGCAGGCTACAATAGGCCAATCAGTAGCCGCCGTGCAGAGTGGCCCCAGTTGGACTTTACTTTTGTTTCCTTATAGACAATACCTAGGGCGGCCACAGTAGCCGCGCGATCTAAGACATGTATTTTCTTCGCTCGCTCGGACGCTGTGATCGTAGGTTCGAATCCCACTTAAGACATAGATGTTTGGTGTGCGTTTGCGTTTATTCTGTTTTTGTTTTGTCCTGTGTTTAGGTACAGGTATTTTAATTAACTGATCACTCTTCCAAGGAATCCTACCGTCTGTGAAAAATTATTACGGAACTGAATAAGAGTTCAGGGGCCTGAATGGGCTACAAGAGCCATTGCAAAATTGATAGAGAACATCTTGAGTGATAATCTCGTCTTCATGAGCGGTCTCGTGTTAGAAACTTCTTTCCTTTACAGGCCCAAGGGAGAACTTTATTAGATGCTCATGCCTTCTTTTCTTGATATCACTCTATGCACCCCTATTATTCTAGATCATAGAGATCCAAAATTAGGTTGAATCACTTTGAAAATTTCTGACCCGGATGCCAAACTCCGTTCCCTGTTTACACTCTTTCTTCAAACGGGCACTTGCCTCTGAATCGCATGGAGTTCAGTTTGTATCTGGTATAGAGGAAATTTCACTACATGGTTTAGGTTAATTTTTCCCATAAATTTACATTTTATTGGATTCCTTGATGAGCTTATATTTGTATATAACCACAGGAAGGGGAGATACTGAACTAAAGAATCAATTAATCAATGATTTATTCAGTTCTAGGAAAGCAAATTGTGTACTGACTTTCATTCTCTTCTGATGCAGCCGAAGACTGGAACAGTGGCGGACACGCTGAAGTCTGATCATATCATCATCATTCTGGTGATCTTCTGCCTCATCTTGTTCGGCATGTGCTTCACGCTGGTCTTCAACTGCGTGCGGAAACTAATTCACGATCACAGGATCATACAGGTCAGTATCCCACGAATTTCCCTGTGTGAGGGTGTCAGTTCACGATCCCAGAGTCATGCACGTAGAAGTGTCATGGCCGCTTCGTTTGAGTGCGGAAGGTCATGATCACACATGGTCACATGATCATACAGTCACATGTCTCACGGCTGTGTCCGTGGGAAACCAATTCGGAGTCGTAGAATCGCATAGGTCAGTACCTCACAGCTATTTCTCACTGCGTAAAAACTAATTTAAAATCAAAAGGTCCTTCAGAGGGGAATAGAAAATAATAATACGGGTTCTATATACATAAGTATTCTTGTATGAAGTGGGATATGTTGCCTGCCCTACCTTTCGTCCTCTCTTTCGGGGAAATGCTATATAAATTTCTATCAAAGCTGGTATGTGATATTTATCATGTGGATCTGATTTTGGTTAATAGGCAGGTTTAATGTAATCCTGCTTGTACGTGATAATCAAATCAAGAGTTTTTTCTAAACCATCTCGTCATACGGATTCTGGAGCGTGATGGAATATAGATGGCAGATCACACCAATAAATACAAAATTTATTTGAAATATTTTGTCGGCATGGTGAATAGTTAACGAATTACACTGTAAAAAGTAAAGCTACCCTTGTAACATACCGTGGAGGGCCGCACCATAGCTCAAGAGGTTAGTCGCTGGCTTCCACACCGCGGCGGCCCGGGTTCGATCATCGATCTTGTCAAGTGGCATTTGTGGTGGACAAAGTGGCGCTGAGGCTGGTTTTCTCCGAGTACTTCGGTTTCCCCTGCCAATCTTCATTCCACCAATTGTTCCACAATCACCCTCACCTATCATTTTGGGACTGGTACAATAGGCCAGAAGTGGCCGCAGTACAAGGAACTTAGTCCCACCCCACTAGCATTAAAAAAATTCCGTGGAGGCCTATAGGTTTAAAGGATCCTGACGATGGAGAATAGATATTAAAACTAAAATTCTGGACTGTATCCATCGTCCCAGTCAGTTGAATCACGACGTTTCGGAAGCTGGTTCTGCTACCGTCCTCAGGTAAGTAAAATGGAGGTAAAAAAGGGGAAAAATGGGAAAAAAATTAAAAGGTAAGGAGGGTTCTTATGTATCCTATACAGTTGGGTCCCTTAGATCAAGCTAATCTCAATCACTGGACAAACTGGCAGGGGACGAAATCAAGGGTGATCAATTATCTCCCATTGACAACTTCCCACTATGAATTGATCACCCTTGATTTCGTCCCCTGCCAGTTTGTCCAGTGATTGAGATTAGCTTGATCTAAGGGACCCAACTGTATAGGATACATAAGAACCCTCCTTACCTTTTAATTTTTTTCCCATTTTTTCCCCTTTTTTACCTCCATTTTACTTACCTGAGGACGGTAGCAGAACCAGCTTCCGAAACGTCGTGATTCAACTGACTGGGACGATGGATACAGTCCAGAATTTTAGTTTTAATACCTATAGGTTTGTGAAAAGTCGAGACTCTATTTTGTAGACAGTTGGCTTACAGATGGTGAGGTTGTCAGCATTACACGCCGGTCGCCTTTTATCCCCAGGAAGATTCCTGGTACACATTTCTCTTAGAAGCTGAGTCGACCCCAGGGCCATATTGCGGCTGGAAGGATTAGGTTAACTTCAAAAATCCACCTCATCGGGACTTGAACCCGCGACCTTCCGGTTTGTGACATAATGCCTCAACCAGCTACACTACCGCATGTCCTCTAACGAATTACATGAACAAACATTTTGGCGGAAAACATATTTCGAAGTCGGCTTGCATCAATAGATTTGTATCTGAAGCAAATGAATAATGCAACTTGGATACACATAATCGGAAAGAAGGCTGGTAGTTGTTTTTTCAGTTTTGCTCGGAACGAGAAAACACAAAATGTGAGTACAATTTAAGAAAATGGAAGTTCTAGCTATTTGTCCATTGTCAGGATGCTTGTTTACTGATATGAATATTTAAAGTACATAAATATTAATTTTCAACTCCGTGCCGGGAACACAAAAACAAACATTAGTTTTACGAATGTCTTTAACTTCTACTTTAATTTTCAGCTTCATATTCTATGCAAACGGTGGGTTCCATTACGGTCTTCTGTCGTATTAAAACTGCTTTAAATTCAGCACGACCTCCTGCTACATGTTGCGCATGACTCGAGTTTCTGCGTTGCGGGCGGCGTGAAGGGCAGCATCCTAATTGTTCAGTAAACATCCGCAATCCTAGTCCAATTGGCAAGGAAACTTCCCTTCTTAAATGCTTCTCTTTATGACTGAACGCAACCTAACGAGACGAACGTGTAGGATGGAAAGCTGGGATGGATTTTGGAGTTCCCGAAATTGGAAATACGTTCTATTTGTTATTATATTGTTAATTGGACTTGATGTTCAGTTACCGCACGTGTGGAACTGCTAAGGTGCAGTGAATAACAGTGCAGATATTCTTTGTGTTATCACCGACGACGTGGTAAACAGTTGGTACTCCTGCTTTCTGTTCAGAAATTTATGGTTTTAATTCGTATGGTTAATTTTAGTTTTCTTCAGTCTATAAAGTCAGATTTTTCAATAACGCGGTAGCGTAGTTGGTTGAGGCACTATGCTAAAAGCCGGAAGGTCGCGGGTTCAAGTCCCTATGAAGTCACTGGATTTTTTCAATTGACCTAATCCTTCCAGTCGCACTATGGCCCTGCGGTCGACTCAGCCTCTAACAGAAATGAGTACCAGGAATTAAATAATTTTCCTGTGGAGTAAAGTGCGGCCGACGCTGACAACCTTACCGCCATTTTTGAGCCGATTATCTAGATAATGTGGGACCCTCAGCATCTCACAAACCTATGGACCTTCACGGCCTGCTACAGGGATAATTTTACGTTTTACTTTTTACTTTACCAAAACACAGCGAGCAGCTGTGTCCTCCTTCACATCAGGCAGCGCAAAATTTAGTTTCGAAACGTCGGAAATTCACCTCATTCTTGCATGGCTCGCCGTTATCGAAATTTACTTGCCTTTATTCACTGAGTTACTTTCATATCTTACAAATTTACTGGAATCCGCAAGCCATAAACATTTTATTTTCGTTGAAAAGGCGCATGCCAAAAACTCGAGTCCGACAGCTGCAATTATCCGAAATGACTTATATTTTACAGATACGAAACTCCAAAAATATGTAAAAATTATTTTGTTAATGCTCAGTTTCTCATCACAAAATATAACTTCACCCAATTTAAATTCAAATCGAATCTGAGGTGACTTGCAATGCACTTCAAATCAGTCATTTGTAGATGTCGCCTACCGGGGCTGTAAGGTACATCGCCTTTTCTTGAGCACTAACTGTGCGTATTGGTTCGCCGGAGTTTAAATATTTGTGTGCAGAATGTACATTAACACCAACTTTTCATTCATTGTATTTTATTGGCATTTGTTTGGCCATCTTCTTCAGGCCCCGAATTTCCTTCCTTTCTATTTGACATCCAAATCCCAAATGACTAGAGCTTCCTGGTTTCCTCTAGGTGGACACTACTACTGACTCCTCATGTGCTGCTTATGCCAGTTTTCCACCAATAATTATTAAAACTCCGTGATTTTAGTCAGCGAGTGAACTATACCGACCGAGCGACCTCCGCTTGTCGGAGAAGATAGTGCGAACTTTAGCGGGATAGGTGGTGTCGCGTGGTCAGCGCACAAACCGCCACGGCCGTTAATTTCGGTTGTCTAGACCGGAGCCGCTATTTCTTTGGAATCGCTCCTCAGTTATCCTCACGTGGCTGAGTGAACCCCATTCCAGATCCACTATATCTCAGAAAATCTGGTAGCGCCGTGAATCGAACCCAGACGTCTGGATCTGTAGGCAGGAACTCTGATCACTAGACCACAGGAGCGGTCCCAATTATTATTGTCAAACTGAAAAATCAAATTAACAAGCCCCCTAAAATTATTACAGAAATCAGTCGCTAAATTAGGGATTTCAAATATATGGCCTTCGTTGGAGGAAAGATTCATCTTCGTACTGCTTAATATTTTGAATCACCGCCTTTCAAAAGTGTGAACCGTTCAGATCCACAGCCATCTTAACCTATCCAGTCTGCAAAAAAAAAAAAAAGACTCTAACCGCCCGGAGGAAAACATTGGTAAACATGTAGAAAATTAAAACAGTACTTTAAGCCTACGTAGTGTATAATAAGAACCTCAGAAAATTTGTAAGAATAAAATTACCTCCTATTTTGACAATTATACTTCTGTGAATATAATGAAATACTTTTGCACTGTGTGGGGAGAATTATTTAAGTAGTGTGTATATTCCAATATATTTTAATTTGCAAAATTCGGCTCTTACATTGAACTCTGCATTCCCAAAGTACTTCGGTTTCCCGCTTCATGATGAGCAGAAAATATCCGTTCAGGTTGCAATCAGCACATAACCCGACTGATGAGCCCTGCACACTGAAGCAAGCAAAGGGACTAAGTGACTGGGAATCAAACACCAAGCGGTCTCGACATCCGCTTATTAATCTGAACTGCTGATCTGTAATGATATATATGCGGCTACATATAGCTACACAGGTCCTTCTGTGAGCATCTGATTACGTAGCTCGAGGAGGAAGAAGATTGAACACTATTCAGGGGTTCCCGTTAAAGTTTCCATGACGATTATTATTATTAATAGAAACCACTCTCAAGGCAGATAGAGAGAGAGAGAGACCACTGGGAAGACCAAAGCGTAGGTGGGGTGGACAACATTAAAAAAAGATATTGGAGAGAGAGGATGGGATGGTATGGATTGGATTGATCTGGCTCAGAATAGGGACCAGTGGAGGGCTCTTTTGAACACGGTAATAAACTTTCGGGTTCCATAAAATGCTGGGAAATTCTTGAGTAGCTGCAGAATTGGCGGCTCCTCAAAAAGGGCTCAGCCCAATGAGTAAGTAAGTAAATAAGTAAGTACTCTCTCTGCCTCTCTCTCTCTCTCTCTCTCATCTCAGTTTTACATACAAACATATAGTTT